ATTATTTTATATTCCCACCAGCAGTGCAGAATGGGTCTTATTGTCCCACATCATCATCAATATTTATCATTCATTCTTTGGTTTTCATCATTATTTTGTGATACTAAGGATTGAACCCAGGGATTTCTCATTGAGTTATAGTCTTAGCCCCTTTTTAATTTTTTTTTCTTTTTTTTTTTTAGATAGCACCTTGCAGAGTTGCTAAATTGCCAAGGCTGGGCTTGACTTTATCATCCTCATCCTCCTGCTTCAGGTCTGAGATTACAGATGTGCATTTGCACACCCACGCTATTTTCTACATTCTTGATAATAGGCTCTTTAAGAAATGGCATTGGGATGCCGGCGATTTAGCTCAGTGGTGCCGACTCCTGCCTTGAAAGCTCAAGGTCCTGAGTTTGATCCTCAATACAAAAAAAAGAGAAAGAAGTGCATTGCAAAAATTAAATAAAAATTATATGTAAAAGATTGAAATTAGATCTCCATCTCTCACTCTGTACAAATATTAATACAAAATAGATCAAAGATCTAAGAATAAGCTCTGAAACATTGAAAATGCTATAATAAAACATACAACAAGACATAGGCACAGGCAATGTGTTCCTGAACAACACTCCATAGCTCAGGAAATAATAGCAATTAATAAATGGGATTACTTCAAACTTTACTGTGGCACAGGAACATTTAAGTGCAAAAGGCTACATAATGGGAGAAAAACTTTTCGGCTAAAAGCACTTAAATCCAGTTAAATTTAATATCCAGAATATACATAGAACTGAAAAAAAACTTAACTAGAGAAAAACCCAGATAACCTAATGAATAAATGGGTGAATGATCTCAACAGACATTTCTCAAAAAAGAACAAATGGTCAAATGCAAATCAAAATTACATTGAGATTCTATCTCAGCACAGTCAGAATAGCTTTCATCAAGAAACTGAAGAGCTGAGTTTTTAAAAGGATAAAACCAGTTGACCAGCCATTAGTGAGACTAACCAGAATTAGAGGACACCCAAATATATAATACCCAAAATGAAAAAGGTGACAAAACAACGGATGCTACAGTAATATAAAGGCCCATAAGAAATTGCCATGAACATGTGAATCTACTATGCTAAAAATGGGAAAATCTAGAATAAATGAATAAATTCCTGAATACACACAGTCTTCCAAAATGGAATCAAGGAGAAACAAAAAAGTTAAACAGATTAGTAATGAATAATAAGATTAGAACATTAAATGAGTCTCCCATTTCAAAAAAGTTTCAGAGTTTGTGGCTTTCCTATTGAACTTTATGAAGTAAAGAACCAATATAATTCTCAAATTATTCAAAAAATTGAAATGAAGGGAAGTTTGCCAAAAAATTTAATGGAGCCAATACCACTTTGATATCAAAACCAGACAAAGACCCAACAACAAAAAAAGCATAGATCCACCTCACTTATATGTATGGATCATCAATAAAATGCTAGTAAACAAAATTCAACAACACTTCAAAAATTCATGAGTCATAATTAAGTGAGATTCATCCTAGGGTTGTATGCATGGTTCCACATATGCAAATCAATAAATGTGTTACAATATATCAACATAATGAAGGACAGAATATCTATATGATCATTTCAACAGATGAATGAAGTTCATAATAAAACTAAATTATTTTTTGAAGGAGCATAGCTCAAATATTAATAGTCCTATACGAAAAATCCACAGCCACTATTATGCTGAACAGGAAAAAGTTGAAAGTGATTCCCTAAAAGTTTAGGAATGAGAAAAAAAATCCAATTCCACTACTTTTCTTTAATATAGTACTGGAAGCTTTAGCATGAACTAGTTAGGCAAGAAAAAAAATATAAGTGGCTGCCAAATTGGAAAGGAAGATGTTAAATTATCCTTATTTGCAGAAACATATGAAAAATCCTAAATAATCCATCAAAAAGTTGTTAAAATTTATAATAGAAACAAGTAAAGTTTCATGATGGAGTATAAACATTAAAAATGTACCATATTTATGTCCCAGTAATGAACTAACTGGTAAAGAAGATAATGAATCAAATCTATTCCCAGTCATTATAGAAAATAAAATGTCTAAGAATAAATTTAACCAAGGAAGTGAAAGATCTTTAGGATGAGAATTACAATATGCTGATGACAGAAATTACTGAACACACACACACACAATTAAAAGACAGCCTATGTTCATAGACAAGAATTAATATTATTAACATGACCATATTACCAAAACCAATCTGTAGATTGCAATGCAATGTTCATCAAAATATCAATGACACTCTCCTGAGAAATTAAAAAAAAACAAAAACTTCTAAATGTATAATGGAATCACAAAAGACAGTTGGGTATTAGAAAATAGTGGTTATTTTATACAGGATGGTAGGAAATTAGAGATTAAAACAAGAAGCCCTCCAACAGCTATGTCACCCTGCAAGGGTGAGAGATGATAGAATAAAAATCCCTCCTTCTGCCTCTCATCAACCCACACCTGCACCTTTTCAGCAGGAAGTGGCTACAGAAGAGAGACACTTCGCGCCTCTTCCCAAGGCCATAACAAACAAAAAAGAGAGGAATATAAGTGCCTTGGAATGGCTGCCGCCATTCCAATAAATAACTTCCATCTTCACCTTCGTTTCCACTTCCTACCTCACGCGTCACCGGGCTTGTCTGCATAGAAAATAAATGTGCAAGAGTGGCCCCTGTGTGGCTGCCCTGCAGCTGACGCAATCCCTGACCCACCTGCGCCAGTCACCCAATATATTACCAAGCCCCTTCCCATTCTCTCTCTCCCTCTCTCTCTTTCTCTCTCTTTTGTTCTCTTTCCTCCGACTGGGCCACCATGCTCATAATAAAGATCTCTCATACGAATAAATAAATTACTTTTTAAAAATAAAAATAAAAATTTCAGTTAGCTTAACAGTAGACTGAAGGCAACAGAGAAAAGGGGTCCTCACCCCTTTGAATACAAATCCATAGACATTTTCTCACTTTATCAGAGGAAGACTAGATGGAGCAAAAATTACAAAAGTTCAAAATAGGCATATAATTGAATTCCTAAAACAAAGGGGAAGATAATTGATTAAATAATATCAGGAAATGTACCAAAATTGGTGAAAATAAGAAATTTGTAGATTCCAGCATCTAAGCAAACCTTCAGAAAGACAAAACTAAGTTGCCTCCTAAGTATATAATAATCAAGATGCCAAAATACAAAGACAAAAAGAAAATATTGATATAACCAGGAGGAAAAAACAGCACATTATACATTGCTTATAGCAAGTTTATATCCTGAAAGAAAATAAACAAAATATCCCTTGCAACTTTTAATTTCTTGCCCAGTGAAAATATTCAAATGTGTACACAAAATAAAGATTTATTTTCAGATGAAAGGAAACTAACAGGATTATCACTGTCAGCATTACACTGTAAGACACCATAAAAGTACATTTTCAAGCTAAAAGAAAATGATGCCATATGAAAACTCAGATATATATATAGAAAAATAAGGAGCAAATGTGAGTAAATATGAAAAGACTATATTTACTTTCAGTTTATTCAAATTATATATGACTATTAAAACCCAAATCTCCTAGCTCTTGTTTCTAATAAAACTGAGGCAATTTTCCAACTTCAGATTGGACATTATCATACATCCATAAAAATATCAGTTAATATATGAAGATATGCTCCAAAAACCTGTATTTATCTATATAAAATATACTATCTTTATGATTAGCAAAACTAAGGAAGACTGCAGAAATTTTACAGAAAGATCAGCTGAATTAGATAAAACTTAAAATCCTTTTCTCAGATCTAAAGTTTGCATCAGATCCCTAGGAAGAAGAAAGATCATTAAATCATGATTTAACCACAAAGTTCTTTACTGACTAAAATGTGGAACACCATTTGCATCTGAAAACAAAGTGGAATAAAGATAGTGAGTCTACCTCAAAACAAAACAACTAAAATTGTATTTCAATTTCAATGAATTCCTTAAGCAAAGTATAGAACAAGTCTCTGACTTGTACAATGTGTTTATTATTATTGTTATTATTATCATTATGGAAAAGTGTGGTGGAAACAGCTAGAATGCTTAACTGATAAATATCCTAAATACAGTGTAATTAGCCACAATTCTTATACACCAAACATGTTTTCTTTGTTTTATCTAATGAAAGATAGATTTTGGGGCACTAATTTTTTATTCTTAAAATTAGACTGAAAAATTAAAGTTAACATCTTTCAACGGATGATTACTAGAGGATGAGGCATACTTATTCTAAACAAAAAATGTTTTTCTTAATGGCACTTTATCCAATATCATCTCACACCTATTCTTTTATAGAAAAGTTATAGAGTATGGGCAGAAAAATAATTCTCATAATGATCTATCTAACAGCCAATCAAATGTGAAGCTATAATGTATATATATTTTTGAGAGTTCTGAAGACAATTTAAAGAAATAAATAGAATAAACTAAATAAAAGTGACTTTCCTTTGTATTCATAACTTTTTTCTTTATGAATTAAAGTATGTGGGGGATCCTATGCTTTTTAGTACACAAAAATATTAAAAATATAATGTGACAGAAATAGAATAATGGAGAAAATAAAAAATAAATAGCATTAACATATTATAAAGGTTTCATGGATCAAAAACATTTTATTTATTTCACATTTCTTGAGAAATTCATAGCCTTAGCAATGAATATATAGAAAACACAATTTCTTATTAAATACTATTCAAATACAAGCAGTTTAAGTTTGCATACTCTGATATTACTAATAATCTACTAACACTTTAATTCTCATCCCTTCTCTAAAATTCAAATGCATTAAAAACCTAAGATACATCCCAAACCATGCAATGAAAAATAAATAAGTTTTCTGAAAAACTTAAAATCCTTTTAAAATAATTTTTATCTTAATAATGTCAATATATTTACTAGAAAAATTACAAAGCTTTCCTGACTAGTTCTTCATCAAATGATTTAAATATCAGATTCTGGTGCCAGATTTCGAAGGTGACAGTTGACAATTAACTTCTGTAGAGGTCTGTGAATAAAGCATAGGCTATGTCCCACACTTGACAAATTAGACACATCAATTATAAGACCTCAGAAAGAAAGACATTCCCATGCCAACCTCAAAGGCCTCAACAAGAATTTATTCCAGCCATAACTCCACACTGATGACAGAGCAAGCCAACATAAAATGGGGACTTCACCAAAGGAATTGTTCATAAAAGGGTCAGAAGAGGTTTTCCGTAAAACGCTGTAGAAGCCCAACTGTTTTGTTCTATTTCATGCGTACCATGGTAAACTCTTACCCTCTCAGTTATAGGGTTTTCTCACCGTCATGTGATTGAAGACGTAAGGTGAAGTAGCCCTCTTAGAATTGCCTCAAAGGGCGAAAATGCGATACGTTCCCTGTAATAATGACTGTGGTTTGCTTCATCTCCTTTAGCAAATGAATCGGGCTTCTTGGGAATTGGTAGTTAAGTGGAATTCCAGTCGCGGAGAGCATCACAGATTTGTAATTGGTATATCGGTAGGTGTTATCTTGTATATTTGTTGAAGATGGATGTCTCTGTTTTTGCTCTTGAGTCCCAAGAGAATACACTTTAGGAGAAGTGAAGTAGGATAGAAGAAATAAAGATAGGTAAAAAGGAGACAAGGAAAATCATGATATAAAAATTATACTTAAAGAAAAATTACATCTTCAGGAAACAAAGTTACTCAAGATTACATATCATATGCCTGCAAATTAAGCTCCTGCTTTCTTTAAACGTATTAAATTATTTTATGATAATTACCCAAAGAGTCAAATGCAAGGAGTGCAAGAGATTAACTGCACATGAGAAACCCCAAACATTCAACTGAGGGCCTGGATCCCAGCAGCTTCCCACACAAGTCCAGCTAAGGGCTTAGAGTCCAAGTCAATGTCCTCCTTGAGTCCAGCCAGTGGCCTAGAGCCCACAGCGATGTCTCATGCTTGTCTGTATTGAGGATCTGCACCCAGAAGGCCCATAGGCCAGTGGTGGAAGCCAGAAAATCTACACTGGTGCCATGAATGATTTGTGCCACCAAGCTGAGAGATTCACATTGAAGGCAGGTCAGAGCTCCCCTGATGAGAGTAGCAGCCATCCCCAGCAACAGCAAGGTCCCGAGCTCCTCCTCTGACAAGAACAGCCTACTTTGCATCAGGAAAATTATCTGCAGCAAGCTTCTCCTAGAAAAGCAACAGGCCAAGATCTTCCCCTCTAGTTCTCTTTTTATGGCTATTGGTAACCATCTTCAGGTGGATCCTCCTGACCACTCTGATTCAGTTCAGCTGGGCATTACAAGTTGACCATTAATCCACTACACACATGATCTATGTGTGTGCATGCTATATGCATATGCATCACGTATGATACCCATGTGTGCGTGTACTACAGGCAGGGCCTGTTAGCCATTGGGCAGACAGTAGAGCAGTTGCACATGATCTGGAAACATCTACAGAATGTAGTCTTAAACCTGCTTTACCTGCTGATACCTGGACAAGTGCCACAAACAAGCCAGTCGCCCTTCTAAAAACATCTAAGTGTCCTTGCTGTTTGGAGAGCGGTCTGTTCACAGTGCAACAGTACCAGGACACTGACATCAGCACCCCTCTACTCTTCATGCTATCTGAGGTCTGGCTGCTGGGAGTCAGCTAATTGTCTTAATGTTCATTTTATTTCCATTAACCGAGAAGTCACCTATGGTGCCTCTTTATGTTCTGTAGCACAATATACACCTTGCTAGGGCCAGGATTGTATGATGCCCATTCTCTTATTTTGAAGCTTTTATTATATTTTTTTGTTCTGGGCACTGGGGGTACAACCTGGACCTTTGCCCATGCTCACTACACACTCTGCCCCTAAGCTATACCTCTGGCCGCCATTCTCCCATAGGAAGAGCCCTGGAGTCCTGTTCAGTAGACTGGGCCCCCTAGCAAACCACCCAGAGGGTGCCTGGGTTGGCGCTCTTGCTTACCTTGCCTGGGATGCTCAGGTTCACTGGGTGGAGAACTCACTACCACTGGGGAGTGACCCCTGGTGCCAGGGACCTGCCCTTCACCTACACCTGTCACCTCCCTAGGTTTAAAACCACTTTCAGACTCAAAAGAAATGCACCAGCTGTTGTGTATCTGGTGGTGAGATTACAGATTATTTTTGTGTTTGGTCAGTCAGCCTAGATTTTCAACATTGTCTTCAAGGAGTGTATATGTATTGGCTCCCCCATCTCCTTCTTAATTTTAATGACAAATATTTCAGTGTCTAGATAGGAAAAGTTACCTTTGTTACCAACACAGCGGGGTTTCTGGGCCTCTTGTAGGAAACTGACACCTTAAGACTTGAAATTTCTTATAAAAGTAGATTCATGCAGAGATATTCTTGGCCCAGAGCAGATCCTCATTCTGGGACCTTCTCTGCCAGTACTGGCTTTTGGTTCCCATCAGTAATATTTTGCCTGCTCAATAGTTTTCATTTCCTCAGTGGGAAAGTGATAGTTGTTTCTTAAAGTACTCAGCCAGGATGGGTGTAGACAAGGCCAGGACACAGAGTCAGCTTGAGAATATGTCGGTGGCTTTGGTCCCTATGCATCTTAGCCTTTGTGCTCTCTTCCCTGGCTGCCCCAGGGAGACTCCTGGCTCCTCTGCCTCCCACAGAGGTTCACTCTGTGTCAGAACATCCTCCCTCAGGACAGGGTCTCCTTCTTTCCCCACCTCTTTCTCCTCTCTGCTCCCAGTAGAGGTCAGAGCTGAGGATCTGGGGTCCCTGGTGTCCACACCTTCTACCGGCTTTTCCTGCAGCCACAGCCCTGGTCCAGAGCCACTCCAGTGGACAGATGTGAACGTTCTGCACAGTGTGACCGAAAGACTCACTCATGACAGGAGAAGCCTCCCCCCAACCACAGGAAGCACTTGCCCCCACCCTGACCCCAGTGGCATCCATGTACATGATGCAGGGCTCCTGTCCCACAGCCCCGATTTCAGTCAGCGAAATATTCTGGTCTCTTACAGAGCAGAGTGTAACAGCTGTAGGGCTCTGCTGAGGCTGCTGAGTGAAGTCATCACACCAGTTCTTTCATCCTCAGACAGGGAAGTCCATACATCAAGAAAGGAAGCCCAAGTGTGACCCAGGTAGCTAAGTGGCACCTCTAGGCCTGGAGCGTTTCCAGAGTGTCCTCCTGAACAAAACAGCTGCCCACAACCTCATCTTGAACAGTGTTTCCAAAATGGGACTCAGGGATTGATTCTACCTATCAAATGTACTTGCTTTTATCCTTCCATCCATCCATCCATCCATCCATCCATCCATGCATGCATGATCTATCTAGGACCGCTGTAGGCCAGAGACTGGAAATTTAGCTACAAACAAGACAGGAAGGAGAGGTGAAGAGAGCTTTTCCTTTGTCTCCAAAGGCAGGTTCCCAAGTCCACCTTCACACCAGGTGTTCCAGGAACAGCTGAAACTGTAGATCTGCCTCCCTGGGAATTTTCCTAATCTTGGAGTTCCCAGAGTGGCCAGAGCTCCTCACACAGCTGCAGCTGGTCCTTGGAAACCCTGCTCTGTGGTCCTTATAGCCTCCTGCCATCTATGAAGACCACTGAAGCCTCTTAGAAAGAGGATTTTCTTGCTTTATCCCTGGCTTTTCTGTCCTCACCATCAAATTCCATCCAGGAACCTGGCACTGTATCTGTGACTTCATTATGGGTTCACCTTCACATTAAGCACAGATTTAGAGAGGGCACCATTCTGAGCACACCAAGCCATCATGTCATCCTCACCATGATGCTGTCTGCTTCTGTGTCCCCTGTGTCACAGGCCCGAGAGGTTGAGACTGGCCCCCAACCATGGAAATAGCCTCATCAGAGGATGTTGTTCTCAGGCTCTGGTCTTACTTGGTTGCTCCCAAATTGTTCAGAATGTCTGCCCTGGCTCCTGGAAGGACACTTGTCTGCTGGATGCAAAACAGTACCTCCTTTGGAAGAAAGTAGGAAGCATCCTTCTTGCCTCTTACAAACTCTAGTTAGTTTGGAGGTGTGAGGAGGGAGCCTTTATTATAGAAAGTGTCCTGTTAGAGAGCTACCCCTTCCACTTACATCCTCTCATTGGAAGAAAAAAACTCAGTCCTGTTGATCTTATGCTGTATGTCTTCAGTAGAAAGGATCGTTTCCAGTGGGCTTCAGTTCATAATCAGCTGGCTCTGAGGCAGGGTGGTACCGTGGCAGAGGGGCGGCACAGAGGAGAAACAGTTCATGGCTCCCACACAGCAGCAAAAGCCACAAGGACTAAGGTCTTGTCTCTCCCCCTCACAGACTTCCATCCTAAAGGAAACAGCACTATTAAGTGAGCAGCAGACCTCTAAACTTCAAGCACGCACAAGTGGTTTGCATTCTAACCTAGCTCACTATGTGGGTAATCTGACAGTAGGAATCCACAACCTACATCATTCGTCTTGAAAACACCCCCATGACCATATAAAAGCTCTCATCCTGACAGTAATGTGCCTCTTCCTGAGGGGTCCCTTCTATTTTCTCTGAGTGTGCACTTCTTTAATTCTGCCTAATACATTTTTTTCATGCCTCTCACTGACATATTCCGCAATTCTTTCCTATGGTAGAAGTCAGAGAATCCACTTTCTATACCGTGAGTGGGGTGAGGCGAATTTCTGGTCTCTCCTTTTGGAAACCTGCTTGGAGCCTGCCAGTGACAAAAGGATTTACAAAATGTTTTTCAAGAGAATTATGATGCATATTGAAATTAGAAAAGAACAAGTCTAAATCATGGACCAACATTGCTTCCCTAAATTAAATATAATTCTCTCTCTGGGAAGAGAGAAAAACAAAAAAATATAAACAACATAATCTGTATTAAAAATACCTCATCTAGAAAACAAATTCTATAACTTTATTCCACATATCTTGAGAAATAAGTAACCCTCTCAATAAAATATGTGGATTCTGTGGTCAAAAGGGCAAAGTAAGCTTACATGAAGAAGGCAAATAAGAACTAAAATGTGCCTTTAAAACCCTGGGATCAATTCTTAGTGATTCAAAAAGAAAGAAAGAAATGAGAATGAGGAAATGTACATAGACACATAATTGACAGTCAGATGTACTTTGTGAACAGTAAGCTTTCAAATAGTTCCTGGATCTGCAAGTAAAGAATTGAGTGAAATTGTATAACAACAGCATGTTCTTATAAATTATCTTAGGAGAAAGGAATAGCCTGTAAGTTTCCTGAATTATCATCTAATACACACAAATGCACACATACACACACACACACACACACAATACACATACATACAATGTGTAGATGGTAAACTTGGTGCCTCTTCTTAAACAAAAGTATTTTCTAAATATTGGGAATAAATAGAATATTAATATATCTGAAATTGTCTTCCATGATTAAAGCAGTTTGGATGAAAATTACAAAGAGGGTCTTGAATATCTTAGGAAACAATCGTTCCTTTCTGTATTTAAAGTAGGAGAGATTCACTGCCTAGTCAGCCTAATCCTCGCCAAGTAGTGTCCTGTGGAGATTTTCAGTTTGAGCAATAATCAGGGGATCCCTCTTATCTCCAGTGCAGCTCTGATAACAGCATTGTTTGGAGTGAGAAGAAGGGGACCATCCAGCTATGAGCTGGAAGGCACAGCCATGGTGCTCTACCACACCACTGGGCCAACTCCAATTCTCCAAAGGCAAAGAGACTCTGTCCTATTATAATACATACCACTCTTGGCCAGGTAAAATGCTTTCCTTAAGGCTGATTTGTTTTCCTCCACAAACCACTGCAGTTACAGACTAATTGTTCGAACTACCCACTTCATTCAAGCTCTCAGTAAATATGGGCTCGACATAGGAGCTGGCCAATTTATGAGATAATTTTTTTATTTTGATAGGTAGATTATTTTAACTATTTCCTTGGCCTTTACAGCATCATAGCATATCATCAAAACAGCAAACTTACCAAAGTGAGGCCAAGTCAAGTGTTTCCATTTATGTGATTAATTCTTATGATAGAGAAAACAGTGATGATGGTCACATAAGGATAAATCACTACAAAAATCCCATTGTAATCATCCTGAAGACTGCATCTCAGAATTACAGTGAGTTGATTTGGTACTTTAATTTAGTTTTTAACAGTGGAGAAAACTTGGCTGCTACCTGAAGCCTTTTTGTAACACAGCATTACACACATTTTTAAACATAATTTTGTCTCCATCTAATGGTACAGAACCTAACCCCATGGGAAAAAAGTGACAAAAATGAATGAATTTTCCTAAGATGATGTGATTTATTAATCCATAAATTGTTTTCTCCAAAAAGTTAAATTTCAATAAGTGATTGTTCACTGAGTGCCACCTCTGTATCAAAAATAAGACCTCCATCCCTGGTACTGGAAAAAAAATAAGACCTCCAAAATAAGACACAGTTAATTTTATTTTGCATGGAACAATATAATATGTACATAGAGAAAATTTATGTAATTGACCTTAATAAAAGTCAGGCAAAGCATGCATAAAGGAATAATAGGATTGTTATTAGATTTTAGACTGTTCTAAAATTCATTCATCCTATTACTTTCATACTCAAAAATCGAAACTGCCTCTGTACCGTGATCAGGAGGAAGTCCACGTGTCTCCATGCATTATTACAAGCCATCAATCATCACATTCATTCGTATCCAGAATTAATCCATAACAGGAGTCCTGTTCCTGTACCAGGTTGTTTAGTGAGTTGGCCCCAGGAGGGCCACACTCATCCATGAGGCCCTGAATCATTATAACTCTAGATGCTTCACCTTCACTCTTATTCATGTATGATCATGCCACAGCAATTTGCTCTTCAGATTTTATTATTGGTGATATTACTATCAATAACTTCTATTGAGGGTTTATTGTATTCCTCATATGTTTATATGTTTGGTACCATGTTGTCTTTGATGTGTCACTACTTTATTTATATTCACAAAACATCAACCAACTAGGTATCACTATCGCACACACTTTACATATGAGAAAAATGAGTAAAGGAGAGGTTAAGTAAACTGTCTAAAGTTACAGTAATTTAGGGAGCCAAGATTTTGACATAAAACACTTTGACTCCATAGCTCTCATTTGTGGTCAGTGTCTGGTGTTCCTCAAGAGAATGCACATTCTGAAAACCTTGGAGTTGATTAATAGTCCATATATCCTCAAAGTGAAGACCACAGGCTACTTGGTCCATAGCAAGGCATTGATGATTGTTAAGTGAATAGAAAAGTATGTGAATGGAAAGACAAATGGAGAGATGCTGAAGGTAGAATTTAATTCAAGCCTGAGACCTCAGGTTTTTCTGAAGTAGATGTGGAAAAGAAGAATATTTGGGAGTTGGGGGTTTAGCACAGTGGCACCGCACCTGCCTTGCAAGCACAAGGTCCTGAGTCTGATCCCTGGTACCACAAAAAAAAAAAAGAATATTTGAGGAAGCACAAAATGCGAGAAGTAAGAAAACAACAGTGGAACAGAATCAATAATAACATAAAAGATATGTGTCTAGGAAGCTGACACAATGGTGAAAAGTTAGAAAGATGAGTTGTTTTTTAGACAGCACAAGTTTTGTGTGGGGACCACTTTGACATGGTGAGATATACTCATGGAACTATTAAACAATAGTAAACTGCAAATGGGGAAGCTTGAAATGCCACACCTAGGGATCATGTTTATTTACATCTACTGTGAATAGATTTTCAAGAGGGTGACTGCAAGAAGAAAAAGGGGTATAGGAAGAAGCCATACTTCCCACCTTCTTTTAGGAGTCATGGAAGGGAAGCTTTCAAATCATATAAGGAAATAAGCATTAACCTGCTGGGTATGGTAGCACATGCCTGTAATCCCAGCATTCAGGAGGCTAAGGTAGGAGGATCATGAGTTTGAGGCCAGGCTGGGTTAAATCATGAGTTTAAGGCCAACCTGCATTACAAAGCGAGACCTGTCCCAAAAACTAATTAAAATAAAATAAAAAGGTAGGAGTCAGGTGTGGTGGTATCATACTCCTGCAACCCCAGTACTCTAGAAAGCTGAGGTGGGAGAATTACAATTTTGAGCCCAGCCTGGGCAAATTGGTGATTTAGCAAGACCCTGTCTTAAAATAAAGAAGAATAGAAAGGGCTGGGGTTGTAGCTCAGCATGAAGGTCTTAGGTTCAATCCCCAGTACTGCAAAACCAAAGTAGGACATAAACAGTAGAGTACAATGCCGGGAATATTAGAAAAGTGGTTCAGGGAAGCAGTGTCAATCATGACAAATGAGTTAAAGACCAGATTTTTGGCCAGGGATGTAGCTCAGTGGCACTGTGTCTGCCTCTCAAGTGCAAAGTACTGAGTTTAATCCCCGGTACTGAAAAAAATAAAAGACTGGATTTTTCAAAATGTCATCTTTTAGTAAGAGTAGTGTTGTTAATAGTAGGTTCTAGAAATCATACTACATAGAGGATATTATTGAAAAATGTAAATATTAATAATTGAATAACAAGTTTCCAAGCACTGGATTTATTGCTTTACATAGATCAAAACATTTACTCAATATAAACACAAACAAACTACTGAGTTTAATACTATGTCTTTGCAAACTTTAGAAAAGAAGAGGGAGGCAAAATGAAGTGCCTGAGTCATGATGCCAGAGAAAGAGATCAGAGACACACTTGGCGCTACCTGCTTTCCATGAGCCATGTTGTTTCCCTTGGCAGAGCACCAGTGCCCTGGGAGGGTGCTTACATCATAAAGACACTGGGCTTCTAAAGCAGGACTGAGTGGAAATGATAACCTAAAAATCAGGTTGAATAAAAGATTTCTCAGGATTTAAGAAATGGTGAAACCAAGAGAAGTTATCTTTACAGGCAAGAAAGAACAATCCTTCTCTGAGACAAATCAGCGCAAGAGAAATCGAATCCAAACTCTTGTAGCTCTGTTTCCTTAGGCTTGCCATTTCCTGCTTCCTTTTTATAACCAATAAAAATATTTCCCTTTGACTTTGAAGCCTGTTTTCAAATCATAATGTTTCCTTAATGCTCTAAGAGTGATACTTTATTGCTCTGAATAAGTGAGTCAGGTCACAGTAAAGTCACATTTTGATTTTCAAGCTGGTGACCAGCTCAGTCCACTGCCCATACACAATTATCTGAGCACAAGTCTGAATTTACTGTATGATGACAAATTATCTAATATACCGCATGAAAGGCTGGCAAACCCTATGTGGCAAATCTGGTGCAGCATTTGTTTTTGTAAATAAAGTTTTATTGGAACATAGTAACGCTCATTTATTTACATATGTCTTTGGATG